GTTCCTGAACTCGGAGAAGTGAGCGGTGGCAGCGGTTGTCGAATGGCTCCGGGGAAGGGAGCGGGCATCAGGGACGGAGGAAGGAAGAGGCGGGGCCTCGAGTTCTGAGGATCACGGACATTTAGTTGTTGACAGCTCTCTGCCATTATTGGGTCTGCGCAGGCCTTTTGAGACCTCTGCTCCGGGGACCTCTGGATACCTCTAGTCACCCCCAGAGACCTCGGGAAAGGTTGACGACTCCTCCTCCCTGTCTTCTTCCTCCTCCTCCTTATCCTCCTCGTCCTCCGCGTCCTCCTCGTCCTGCTCGTCCTCCTCCTCTTCCTCCTCCTCCTCCTCCTCCGTGCTGAAGCGTCCTCCTCAAGGGGAGTGATGGGTGTGCGCGGAAAATCTGACGTCCTCAGCCCCTCATCTTTGTCCATTGAGTTGAACATCTCTCTACAGTGTGGGCCCGTGCCAAGAAACACCCTGTTTCCCTCCAGGGTGGCCTGGGTCTCTTGGGTTTCGATGGTTTTGCAATGGAAAGCGTGACGTGCCCACACCAAACATCAATGGGCGCCCTGGGGTCTCAGGGTTGGGTTTCTTGTGGAGCGTTTCTTGTGGTGGGGCCTCCACTGTACTCGCAGAGTCGGGTGTCTGGACATTCCCGGGTCCCCGCCGTTTCTGCGGACACCCGACTGACACACAGCAGAGCACGGCTCGCAGGAGCGCCCCGCGGGGAGGCCGGCGCCGCGTCGAGAGCGCGGTTCCGTGGGATGGAACGCCACGGAAACACAGTCCGTCAGAGCCCCGAATCATCAGGGGTAACTCGGGTCAGGGATAACACGGGTTCGTTTTTCGGGACTCCAAGCCCGAGTTACCCCGGACCCGAGTTACCCCGGATAACTCGGGCGTCCAGAGCCCCAGAATCATCAGGGGTAACTCGGGTCAGGGGTAACTCGGGTTCCTTTTTCGGGAATCCAAACCCGACTTACCCCGGACCCGAGTTACCCCGGATAACTCGGGCGCCCAAGGAACGCCACGGAAACACAGTCCGGCACGCTGTGCCACGGGAGCCTTTCCTTTCGCGGGTGCAGGTCTGCGGTCCGCGCTGCAGCGAGGGCCCCAACCTCCGCGGGAGACCGACGGGAACAGAGGGGGGCAGACCTCGTGGAGGACGATCAAGGGAGAGGAAGCATGTCGCCAAATCATTTCCAGATGTCTAGAGCATGTGTTGAGACTAGTTTAACATGTAAAACACATGTTTTAAACATTTCCGGGACATTTTCCCCGACATTTGAAACACATTTTTAATTCGATGATAGGACTGTTAGAGTGTCCATTGTCATGGCATCCAAAGGGCAAACCCCGCATCGGGATCATCACTTGCACTGGCGCAAGAGTGCGGCCACCGCTGCCGCAGCTGCGGCGACAATGCCATTCCGTTGGACGGAGGCCCATTGGTGACCTGATGCGGGAAAATTATCAGTGGCGGCACCAGTTATCAAGGTCTGCGCACGGTCTGATTGCATGCGAAGGTACAGCCACCGCTGCCACGGCTGCGGCGTCAGCTTCGTCTGGAGAACGGAGGCTCTCGGGCGATCTTGCACTATGGCGACCGCAACAGCGAGAGCACAACGGCGAGACCGCCATTGCCCAACAGCAGAACATAGTCGGATCGAAAAGCAAGTACACCTTGGCGGCATCAGATCCCAAGCAGCATGCTAGATTATCAATCAACTCATTACATTATTCGGTGCATGCGGGAGACCATCCGGGATGGCATACGGGAGAACACACGAGATATTCAACGGGATATCATACGGATGACATCACGGGGTACACCATCCCGGATATCATGCGGTTAACCAGAGGCCCAGATTGGAGACAATACGGGAGACCACACGGCAGACCACAGGAGTAAATGCAAGGCGGCGTTATAGTGTGTGTATACACACGGTGTGCATTTTCTCAAGCCAGCACGATCTTAGGGGAGAGAGGGTACGAAATACTATTCCTATTGTGCCATTGTCCATGGAAGGGTATCGCCTGAGAGAGGGCGAAGGAAGCATGGGGAGAGGAGTGAGGGAGGCAAGCCTCCCGGAACAGCCCGTTCGCTGTTTTGTGGGCCGTGCGGCTGCCAGGCTCTGCCCAGTCGCACGACCGCCCAGCCCGAGCCGTGAGAGCTCTCCAGACGGTGCCTGCGCTCGGGGGTCGGTTCCGGTGCTCTTGCCGCCCCGTGCCTGTACGGATATCGGCCACGCGCAGAATTCAGGAGGGGACAAAAACACAGACACAATTAATCGTCGATCCCCCGGAAGATATGGGAAAATATGGGATGTGGGGGGGAAGACGAAAACCCAGAGAATATGGGGCACTATTTTGTTTGTGCTTATTTCTTTGTGTGTCCTGGGGCTCCTTCAAGAAGGGGGGTAAGGGGGAGGGGGGAAGGCTTCTCAGAAGCACCCCTGCCTCTCAGGAGGCGCTGGCCTCCTCTATATAGATGTGAGGCCGGCGCCTGCTCAGAAGCAGCCTGCTTCCAAGAAGCGCTCCCCCCCTCCCCCTACCCTTCTGTCGGGCGTGTCCCCCTACAGGGGGATTTTCGACGAAAATGCAAAATCCCCCGAAAATGCACCAAAAAGGTCAAACCATATTCAACAAAATAGTCCCCAGATCATGTTCGGACTGTTTTTTTACTTTTTTTTTTTTTTTTTTTTTTTTTTTTTTTTTTGCTTTTTCGTCGAAAATCCCCCCGTAGGGGGACAGGCCCGACTTAACCATACACCTTAGGCTATGCTTAAGAAAACCCAAGTTTTCGGCCAGAGTCTCGACTATTCTCAATTTTTCAATGTAAATCCCAAGATTTTGATAGAAGTTCTGGGTTTTAGTAAATTTCTGAGACTATGAATTTCTTAACCCATGATTTCTTAAGCATTTCGCAGGGTGTACCCCCGTGCGCGCGCCGCCAAGGACGTGCCCCGGTGTTCCGCCCCGTGCCTGCCCGTGCCCGCCCGGGGGCGCGCCGTGCGCGCGCGCGCGCGCGCCTCCCTGCGCTGCACGCCCCGCGGGCCCCTCCTCCTCGAGCGGGGGAGGGGCTCTGGCTCCTCCTCCTCCTCCTCCTCCTCCTCCTCCTCCTCCTCCACCACCTCCTCCTCCTCCTCCTCCTCCACCTCCACCTCCTCCTCCTCCTCCTCCTCCTCCGCCACCTCCTCCTCCTCCTCCTCCTCCGCCACCTCCTCCTCCTCCTCCTCCTCCTCCTCCTCCTCCTCCTCCAGACTGACCCCGACGCCCAGGGGCACCGCACCTTGCACGTGCTGGTGCCTCGTCGTCGTGTGCAGTCCCCCGCACACAGCTGCACGGCGCCCGCCTGCGCGCGCACACGCCGACGCGCACCCGTCTGACACGCATGCTTGGCATGAGAGCATCGGCCGCCCCTGGCTTTTCCAGCGCAGCCTTGCTTATCTTGTGTCCGCGTGTCCGCGCGCCTATGCTGACCTCATAGGTCCGAGGCGTGAATTCATCCATATCCACCGCCTGGAGGGTCAGCTTTCGGAGCCTTGGCAGGCGGTGGATATTGACACATTCGGGCCCCCGTGGGCCGAAACATGTCCATATCCACCGCCCGCTGGGGCGCCAGGACGTCGGCTCCCAGGCGGTGGACATGGATAAATCCCCGCCTCGCAATAGGAACAGCACATCGTCCAGAACCTGCATCCTCGTCTCGCAGCTCTGTGCACCCGCGTTGATCCAGCATCCGCCCAGTGCACGGCACCGTGTCGAAGAGCACCCCCGCGGGCCTCGCCCGCGCCGCCGCGCTTTTGCGTCGAGATCCTTCCGAGCCAGTGGTGTTCGGAACAGGCCAAGATTTGTGGAAGCCGATAAATGGAGAGGAAGCGTGCTGCCGAATAATTCTCAGATGTCTAGAGGATGTTTCAAACTTTCAAACATGCTTTAAAATGGTTGAAACATGTTTGAGCCATGGTTAGAACAGTTCCCCTACATTTGAAACACATTTCTAAATTCGATGATAGGACTGTTAGGGTGTCCAATGTCGTGGCATCCACAAGTCAAGATGGAGCTCTTCGACCACGTGTGAACTATCGCACATGTTTCAGCCAGTAGTTGCCAAGCTTCTTGAATTTCTGCGCGCGCACTTCCTTACATCGTTGTCACATATCACTATCACCTCGCGGGATGAGAACTGCCACGTATCTCACATGCATGGCCACCCCCAGCAAGCGGAGGTCGGCGTATCTCGACTGACGCTTGTGCAAGAATCTCTCGCACGAGCAAACGCACGAAACCCACGCGCGCGCACATGCCAATGCATACCAGGCACATTGGCTCTGCACGCGCTCCGTAAACAACATGACACAAGATCCCCACAGGTTTTGTATTACACAGCTTCCGGGCTGTCTGCCCACGCGCACATTCTGAAGCCACACGAACATATGATTCCATTACAAGCCGGTCGTTGAAAGTAGATATTTTCAAGATTTCCAACTCCAAATCTACTTTGGCCGCCTTCCTACTTCAAGAGTCGAGCGGTTTTCCTTCTTTCCTCCTCTTCAGGGGGCGGTTGGAAGCCCAATCTACTTCAACGTTTTCCTACTTCATGTTTCAACCCACTTCTTCCGACCGGCGTGTAATCTCGTTCAGGGACCGCATTATCATCTCACCACTGGGTGCATTTGCGTTGACCTAGCCTGCGCCCAGCCCACCGCTCCTTATCACAGTACCATGTGGGCCACGCGCGCGCCGCCCCCCGCGCGCGTGTTGAAACTCCTGTCGCTGCCAGGGGATGGGTTTACGAAACATTTCAAGATAGAGAGCTCCTCAGGAACATCTGAATCAACAGCTCGGTCTTCATCACACACAAATATTGCCAGACTTCTTGAAACTGCGCGCGCGATCATCTGCATCAGCGCCACCCTGTCACCGCCGTCATCGTCATCGCCAGTCGCCAACATTGCCGCCACCGTCAGTCACCGTCACCACAGCTATATGGACAGCATCATCATCATCGTCACCAGCATTGGTGCAGGCATTGGTCTTGCCGCCGTCGTCCTATCGTCAGCACCATTGCTGCTACCATCTTCCTTGTCGCCGTTGTCGACGTCATCATGATATCGCGCCTGCCCGAGTCGCCGACCCGGAGTGAAGTGCCCGCGCGCCAGCGCGACCTTTGAGACGCGCTGGGGAGTTTCCATCGACAACGCCATCGCGGCTCACCAGCTGTGCCAGACCAGTTTGCCCCTCTGCGCGCGAGTTTGCACGCGCCAGCTCCGACGCAGAGATGCGCCATATAGACCCAAGTAATCTCCGCAATCGCGACCGCGTGGGTTCTTTAAAAGAAGATACGGGTCTTAGGTCGGGATGATCGCGCGAGCAGTGGAGGTGTCAAGTCCAGAGTTTGCACCACGCAGTTCGCACCACGTATATCCCACACGAAGCTATCATCGCAACCCATACCACATAGTTTGCACCGCGCCGCCTGCTTCACATATGTTGCCCTCATACATGTTACACATAGCGTGCGCCATAATCCCTGCACCACACGCGCTGCACCACGCAACTTGCACCACGCAGCTTGTTTGGGGTGTGTGTTGGCCAGCATTTCGGCGTTGATCAGGGTGCCTCCATCTACCAGGGGGGAGGGCGTCTTCGAGTTTGGGGTCGTGTGTGCTTTGCTTCTTCTACGCCGCTATTCGGCCATCATGATTTTGGGCGTAACCCGAATTTGTTTCTCGCGAGGTAGACTGAACCGAACTGAACTGAACTGCACCTAACTGGACAGACTAGTCGCACCTGTTACGCGTCGGTGTTATCCTCGGCCGCCGAGGGCGCAACCTATGGCGCAACCGATATGAGAAGGTTTTATCCCATGCCGCCGAGGGCGAAACCTATGGCGCAACCGATCGGAGACTGTTTTATTCTCGGCCGCCGAGGGCGCAACCTATGGCGCAACCGAGAGGAGAGGGTTTTATTCTCGGCCGCCGAGAGCGCATCTTATGGCGCAACCGATCGGAGTCTGTTTTATTCTCGGCCGCCGAGGGCGCTACCTATGACGCAACCGATGGGAGACGGTTTGTTTTCAGCCGCCGAGGGCGCAACCTATGGCGCAACCGATGGGACACGTCTTTTTTCTTATCGGGCGCCAGGGCGCAACACATGGCGCATCCGATACGGGACGGTTTTATTCCCAGCCGCCGAGGGCGCGACTTACGGCGCAACCGATGGGAGAGGGTTTTTTGTTATCTCAGCCGCCGGGGGCGCAACTTCGCAACATCCAGGAGACGGGTCTGTTCTTCGCCGCCGGGGGCGCAGCCTACGGCGCAAGCGACAGGTGGCCGGAGCTGCAGGAAGCGGACCTTGGCGTGCGGCGCGCCATGCTGCTGGAGGGGAACACTTCTCGGCGCCGCCTGTGGCGCAACCGATAGCAACCGATAGGAGACGGTTTTATTGCGAAGGCCTTATGGCTGGTGCCGCCGACCCTGAGATCGACGAAGAAGAAAACGAGTGGGGGGGCAGGGGGAGGAGGAGGAGTGGGAGGTGGAGGAAGTTGAGGACTCTGTCGGAGGCTTCTTGGGGCGTCTCGGGGCGATCTTGGGGGCCTGTGGGGTTGTCTGGGCGCTTCGGAGAGCGAAAGAAACGAGAACGCAAGAATCTGTGAAAACGCACGATAATCGACGGAGTTTGCTTGTGTGGGCCTTCGTGAGATAGCGCCTGGAGTCATTTTCCGCCGTCTTGCAGGCCTATGTGGCCGTCCAGAGGCTGCGAAGGCGTCTTGCACAGATCGTTCGGCGATTCAACGTTTTCTTGACCTGTCTTGAAGGCGTCTCGGGGCAATCTTCGCTCGTCCGGAGGCCTTTTTGAGCTCCGGGACCCGTCCCTGAAGGGGAACGACGACGGCGGCGGCGGCGGTAGCGACGACGACTCTGATGTGGGTTGAGTCCTCAGGGGAGCTTCTTGGGGTGTCTTCCGAGCGCTCTCGAAGGCCTCTGGGGGGCAGTTTGGGGGCCCCTTGGGAGCCTCTTGGGGCCTCTTGGGGCTTCTTCGGGGCCTCTTGGGGGCCTCTTGGGGCTGAGGGCTCGAAATGTCCGTTCGGGTCCCCGTCTTGGCTTTCTCCTGGAGCCGTCTTGGGGGCATCTTGGGCCGTCTTAGAGCGTCTTGGGCCGTCTCGGGTCCCTCTTCGGCCGTTTGGGGACCCTCTTGGGGGCCTCTTGGGCCGTCTCGGGGCGATCTTGGGGGCCTCTTGGGCCGTCTTGGCGCGTCGGGAAGCAGAAGAGGCAAGAACGCCAAAATCTTTCAAAAACGTGTAGGATATCCATGAATTTTGCCTCTTGGGGCTCTCGTGGGAAAGCTCCTGGAGGCCTCTTGGGGCGCTTTGCAGGCCTCTTGGGCCGTCTGGAGGCCGTCAAGGCGTCTTGGACAGATCGTTCGGCGATTCGGGGCTCTCTCGAACTCTCTTGAAGGCGTCTTGGGGCAGTCTTCGCACGTCCGGAGGCCTTTTTGAGCTCCGGGACCGTCCCTGAAGGGGAACGACGAGCTTGCTTCTTTCTCCCTCCTCCTCCTCCTCCTCCTCCTCCCTTCCTCCTCCTCCCTTCCTCCTCCTCCTCCTCCTCCTCCTACGCCTCCTCCTCCTCCTCCGCCTCCTCCTCCGCCTCCTCCTCCTCCTCCCCCTCCTCCTCCTCCTCCTCCTCCTCCTCCTCCTCCTCCTCCCCTTAGGCGAAGAAGGAGAGGGATGGGGACGCACGGAGTGCTGCGGGGGGGAGGGAGGAGGGGGAGGGCAAGGGGGAGGGAGAGGGAGGGCGAGGAGGGAGGGTTGGCAGGAGGAGGGGGGGGGTGGGATGGGAAGGCCAAACAAGGAGCGAGCGAGGTGAGGAGTGAGAGGGGGGAAGGCTGAAAGGGACGGGCGGGTGAAGCGATAGGAGAAGGGATGGGGGAGCGAATGGCGAGGTTATGACGGACCAGGAAGCGGGCGAGGTGGGGTTGTCAAGCTAATTAGGTGCGCCGGCGCCTCATTTGACATCCTATCCCTCCCTCCCTTCCGCTCCCACGGCGCTAAGTTTTCGTTGTCCGCGGACACGTGTAATAGCCGATCTGCGACTCCCACAGAAAGACCATTTCGTGGTATTCGCGATCGGAAAACGGGGAGCTGCGTCCACAGGAGGAGGAGGTGGCGGGTTAGCAGGAGCATGAGTGGGAAGAGAAGGATGGGGGCGAGCAGCAGCAGGAGCCAAAGCGGAAGGACAGGGATGAGGAGGGCTTGGGGCAGGCGGAGGAAGGGAAATGAGGGGGGCGACAACGATGGAGAAACCTTTGGATCGAGGACAGTTGCCCGTGCCGGGGTGAGGCGAACAGCAGCAGCAGACACCGGAGTGGAAGGCTGCGGGAGGAGCAGGAGGACGATGGGAAGGCGGAGGAGGGGAAACGAGAAGGGGGGGCTACAATGAAGCAGGACTCGGATCCAGAACAGTTGCCCGCGCTGGGGCGAGAGCGCCATTCTGACTGACGAGCAACGCGCCGATCCAACAATGAGGCCCACGCTGCATCGGGATCACAACCGTGAAACTCCGAGAACAATCGGATTGCATAGTACCATGATAATCACCAACGTTTCACTTCTGTGTTAAAGCAACAACGCACGAAGGGGGCGGGAGATTTTCCAGAAGACTCAAGGGGAGGAGGGAGAGTAGTGCGCCCGAGGGAAAGATGGGCAGGGAGAGGAACAGGTGGAGGTAGGGGCCATCAGGGGGTGTGATGGAGCGGAGGAGGAAGAGGAGGAGGAGGAGGAGGAGAAGGAGGAGGAGCAGGAGCAGGAGCAGGAGCAGGAGGAGCAGGAGGAATAGGAGGGGGTGTGGGAGGAGGAGGAGGTGGAGGAGGATGACAGGGAGAGGGCGGCAGCGGACGCGCACGCGCAATCATGGCATGTGCTTGATCGTGGGGCTGTGCAGACAGATATCCGGGTCATTGCGATGAAATGCAAGTGCATGAGGAAGAGTTCAGGGAAGCGGCAGGATGGGAGATTTCGGGGGAGGGCGTCGGAGGGAGGAGGAATGATGGAGAGGACTTCGGTGGGGAGGAGGCATCGGAGATTCAGCAGAGAAGATGAATTCGGCGGGGAGGAGTTCGGTGAAGAGGAGTTCAGTGGGGAGTTCGGCAGAGGAGATTCAGGAGGCGGCCGGGAGGAGGAACAGGATAGTGACGGGGGGGGCGATGCGTCTGGTGGAGCGGAGGAACAGCACTTCGTGCGAGGTGGTGTCCAGCCCAGTCCAGAAGCCATGCGCCTAACGGCGCGTCGGCAAGAGAATGCGCGAGCACGTTGGCTCACCTTCGCGGGCTCGCGGCTGCCAGGAGTCAAGTCAGCAGCCTGACCTGGTCTCTTGGGAAGAACCTGTGTGGTCATGGGTTGATCAGGGAGGATGCCAAGAAAGGAGAGGAGCAGGAGCCGGAGGGGAGTGGGAGGGCGAGGAGGTGGAAGAGGGACAGCCTCCCTCCTCCTCACACGCTCCGCTCCTGCGAGGGAGTGTCAGGGGTGGGAACGGCAGGCCCCGTTGCCTCGGAACCACACCGCTGCCGGTGTAAGGCTCACGCTCGGCGCCTGTCCCGGACCGCCCCTCTCTCCTGACGGTGGCGCCCGGGCCGGCCCGCGTTTTCCCCCTCCGCTCTGCGGGCGGTCTGTGCCCTAGGCCCCGTGCAGCCCTGCATGGGGGCGAGAAAGGGGCGTCGGCGCGCGCGCGGGGCGTGCCGGAGGAGGAGGGCGAGGAGGCTCCGTCGTCGTCGGCGCCCCTCTCACCCTCGACGTTCCCTCCTTCCTCCTTCCTCCCTCCTCCCTCCTCCCTCCTCCCTCCTCCCTCCTCCCCCCCTCTCCAGTTGGATTGTTTATGATCCCTTGAGTTCGGGGTGAGAGGCTTCAGAACCTTCGGAGGAGTTGAGATATTTGTCGGACTTATCCGAAACAGTATGGCTCAAGCCATTACGTGGTTTCTTGAAAGCTACGCTGGAAAACCAACTTTGGCAACGCTGATGTGGTGGCAGGTCCTTTGAGACACGCCGTTTCCCTGCCCGCAGCTTAGCCGTGAGGTTCCGGCGAAGCGTCGAGATCGACACATCATGCACGACAAGCCGCTTCAGCACGCGAATCTCAACAAGCTCATCGTGCGCGTCATCGCGGCGACCTTCATCACTCTCAGTACTAGGCTGGTGAAGCGGACGCGCTTCGCCATATATCACGGAGACACCTCGGGCGCTGGTGGCATCCCGCTGGACACGTTCAATAAGAACACGCCGCCAAGATGGCGGCCAGGCAATGCAAAGTATCCCCTGCGCCGCTACATCCAATTGCTCAGGCTTTGGTGGAGGCGTACGGAGTTAGCAGAACGCGCAACAGGACCAGCGATGGCAGGACGCCTACGTGGCACGGCCTTCCAGATAGCTATGACGATTCGACGAGACCGGCTGGACCTGAATGCAGGAGTGCGACGCGAGATGGAAGGATACGAATTGCCCGCACAGCTTTCACACCCTGAGTTGCAAAACGCTTAAGGTGTTCAACGCGCAGCAGAGCCTGCCAGAGCGTCAATCCTCATGGACGTGCTCGTGCAGGAGTTCGAGGTTCAAGATCAAGATATGTCAATTGTGGCCTTGCCAAGTTTCTTCTCCTCGCACCGACGCCATTCTCCGATTAATTACTTCCTCGCGATGTTCAGGCTCTGTTTTGACGAGGCAACCGAGCGTGGAGGCCTGCAGCTCGACAACGTCTGCAAAAGCTTCCTCCTATTGCAAATGACAGGACTCCCAGAGAGGATGCGAACATACCTCAGAATGAAGATTAAGGAGATCTCAGCCGGTTTCCCGAAGTCATTGCGTTGATGCAGATAATGGCCAATCACGAGTCCCAAGGAACATCATCGTCGATGCCGAGTATGGCCTCGCAGTAATGGATGGACGAAGCAGCATATTGGGAATCAGACTACGAAAGACGTGAGACTTGGATATCCGACGGCTGCTGGGTTAACCTAAGCTACAACGACGATGATTGGTAGGAAAGCACTTGATATGATGGCGCCGACTGGGGCGACTCCTACGAGGACGATGGCGATGGATGCGAGGAGGACTACGGAGAACACGCGGAAGAGAACTACTACGGTGGCAATGGTCGTGGACGAGGCAGAGGGCGAGGCCGAGGTAAGCAAGGACGCAATAACAATAGCAGTAACACCTCGGGCGGATGTGCGACCTGCGGTTCGCCTTTGTACTCAAGTACGGACTGCCCTAGGCAGAAAACTCAATCTCAAGGTCCATCCAAGCCGAGCGACTGCGACGGCAAGGTGGGCATGTTTCGTAGCAGCAGCAAGGGCAAGTATCGCGGGAAGTCCAAGAACAACAAGGATGGCCGGTTTGGCGGCAATGGTTTCGGCAAGGCCCAGAGGAACATTACCAGCGGCAAGGGCACGAGGAACGGCGAGCAGAGTTGCTACTGCGAGAACGCTATCATAGCAGCGTGAGAAGTATGGTGGAGAGAGCAGTTGGTTCACCCGTGGAGTTACAAGTACATGCGTGGTTGCTCCGAGACCCGAACTCTTCAACCTGGAATCACTTGCGCAGACGATTGCCTCAGGACCGAATATCACTGCGCCAGTCAGGCCGAGCGTCCTGCTGGGCATGCAGTTCGTCGCCAATGCCTCGGTCATCGCACCAACAGAACAGTCGGCGATCTTCAGCTTCCCGACCGATGGATCCGACTCCAGGTTCGTCGTCGAGTGCGACGCGCCCGACAGCTGGACCTGTATTCAAGAAGTCGATCTTCATGACCTTAGCGACGCCCAACGCGGCCTGCAATTATCCTGCGACTGGTGAGGTTATCGGCGCGATGCGTTTGGTTCAAGGTGTTGAACGGCTTGGGTTCTTAGTAGACGCAGGAGCATCCTCGGCCTTGATGGGCGCGGACACCCTGCTAGTTTTTTTGGGCAACGTCGTAGAGCCGATGGGCGCCGTGCATGAGGTGACCTTCGGCCCGTCCGCTTCGATGTACACTGGTGTTGGAGGCGAGCCTGAACCAGGATTTCAAACATGCACAATGCCCCTCGGAGTATCAGGCCTACCGGGTGCGACTTTCTCGACGGACTTGATCGGTAACCATGGTTCCTCATGTCTTGGTATGCGCGGTTTCGAATTGTTATGTTCTGCCGTCTGACAGGTTCGAGCAGAATCCTCAAGATATTGCGAAGGAACAAGCAGCACTTTGGAAGGCATTGCAGATTCACTGGTCAATGAAATACCAGCGAGGAGTTCAGGCCAACATCGAGTGCGCATTCAATCCGTCCAAGACGGAGATGACAAGCACGTTGGCATCACCATTGCCGGCGGCAGGTTCGGAGAGGCAAGGTCCGCCGCCAGCGGCGGCTGAAAAGGGCAGGTATCGGACTTGTTCAATATTTTCCGACAACAGCTCCAGTGTCAGACAACGAGGTGAAACAGACGACATTTCAGTCAACGGCATCGCCAGGAACAGCGTCGGTACTTTTCTCGCCCGATCGTCGATGCTTCCAACGTTTGCAGCACCACCAGATCAATAAGTCCACCGCGATCTGGATGAGTGCACCAGGACAAAGTTACTCGCAAGGTATTTGACCGCAGGGCATGGGCGAGAAGGGGGGGTAGCAGCTGGGCAGGTGCCATGCGCGCATGCCGGAGCAGTTGCAACTTCAGCGGCCTGGTAGTCATTATCCCCGAGAGCGCAGAGACCTGGTGCCACCAACTCATCAATGATTATCACGGTCTGGAGCTTCCTGAAACTATAGTGGCTCAGGATGGCTTTCCTTATGTGCATGAATGTCAGGCTTGGTTCTGAGAGCAGTCCCAATGCTTTCAGGTATGGTTGGGATCTACGCCGTCAGGCCCATCGAGATCTTCTTGACAAGATTTACCAGGCGCTTCCGCGATTGGTGGGATTCTCGTCTCCAAGGTGCTCGCCGTGGTAAGTATCAACTCTGATGAACGATGCCTCGAAGCTCGAGGCTTTACGTCAGGCGGAATGTCCGAATCTTCAATGGGTTGCTCAACGACTTCGCAAGGTACACAAGGATGGCCGAGCCAGTGTACTCGAGAACCCCAGGAGCTCCGCCATCCTCAAGAGCTCGCCATTGAAATCGGAATCACACTACGCCAATCAGGCACATCTCGCTCCATGTCAATACGGAGCGTCATTTGCATCAACAGGAGTTGCAGTCAAGAAGCCGTCTTTCATGCACCCGACCAATATCAAGCTGTCGCGTCTCTGTTTGAAGTGCCAGGGCGACCCCAAGTGCAGCGAGCATTCTGTTATTCAAGGATTGTTCCCCGGCACGAGCATCAACGAGGCAGCTGCAGCGGTGGTCTATCCATGGTCCATGGGAACGGCCATCGTTCACGACATTCGCGAACGCATACATGGCGACGAGATGTTTTACGCGCACCTCTGGAATTGCGAGAGGTGCCGTCATGGGCTCCAGAAGAAGATGACAGATGGAAGCAACCAGCCCACCACCGCTCCTCACACCGGGGTGGCAGGCTGCAGGTTTGCTCCAGGCCGCCTTGGCGCACCACCAGGAGGTGCGCCAGCAGCAGCAGCAGGAGCGCCGGCACCCCCGCCAGGGCTGCGCCCTGGCTGCACTGCCGGGCGCGACCGAAGCCGCAGCAGCAGCAGGAGCAGCAGCGGCAGCAGCACCTGCGTCGCCGGCAGATCGCGACCTGCTCAGGCTGCTGACCCAGCTGCCGCTGCGCCGGCAGCGCCTGCAGCAGCCGCAGCCCAGCAGCTGCAGTCGCGCAGCTCCTCCCTGAGCCTCCGCTTGAGGCTGTGGCTCCGCCGAGTTACATCGAGCCGAGTTTCGACCTCGAGGCGGCCCAGAGCACGTGGTGTTCAGGAGCTGGACCAGAAACTTGGGTGCAATGACCTACCTGGTCACCGACCAGGAAGGCGCCATCACGAGTGACCTCGTCGGCAAGTGCTGCGAGAAGTTCAACGTCGCACGCGACCTCGGTGGCTCTCAAGGCCACGCAGCAGCACCGATCGCAGAGAGAAGGATCGAGATCGCGAGGACAGGATCTCAGAAGATGGGAGACAGTCCAGAAGACTGGCCTCGACAGGACTCTGAGTCAGGTAGTTTGCGAGGTCGGCATGTCCACCAGCAGCATGCTCAGTTGCAATGGCTGTGCTCTGCATCAAGGTCTGCTCGGGTATCAACCACGCGAGCTGTGCGATCCCGAGATCAAGACGATCTCTGCAGCCGCCGGGGCGTGAGGGGCAGCGCCCGACGCCATCGAGGTGCCCATGCGTCCACGCATGATGGCGAAGGAGGCGATCCTGCAGAGCATCGTGGAGCACCGGCTCGCTGTGGCTCAGAACACCAAGATGCAGAAGTTCAAGCCGGAGGACCGCGCTAAGCTTATCGACGGTGCGAAGGCAGACCTTTGGCGAGAACCAGACTCCAAGGATGATGCAGGATGGCGTGGCCCTTGCGAAGTGATCAAGGTCAACCGGGATGGTTCCAGGGCAGTGGTCGATTGGAGAGGCGCATCATGCTGCTGCCTATCGGGAATCTGCGACCTCATGTGGGCTTCGTCTGGCTTCTGCACCAGAAGCACCACAACAAGGATGTCGACGCCATACAGCACCATATGAACGATACAGTCAAGCAGATGATGGAGATGGTAGAATCAGGAGCGACGCTTTCATCCTACACCTACGGCCTGG